TGCGCGCCGGTTCCCGGCGCTCCCGCGCGCCCCGCGGCTGCTGGACGGCCGCCGCGGCGGCTGCCGCCTCCACGGCGCAAGGCGGCGTCGATGCCAGGGGCCCACGGCGGCCCAGAGGAGGGCGGGGACCAGGATTTTGGAGAGATCGAGGCTGGAAAAGCTCAAATTCCCCATTCCCGAGGTTGGAAAAGCCCAAGTTCCCGGTTCCCGGCTCTGTCTGGCGCCCCAGGGACCCACGGCGGACCAAAAGATGGCGGGAACCATGATTTTGGAGAGATCGAGGCTGGAAAAGCCCGAAATCCCGGTTCCCGGCTGTCTGGCGCCCCAGGGACCCACGGCGGCCCAGAGGATGGCGGGAACCAAGATTTTGGAGAGATCCAGGCTGAAAAAAGCCGAACTCCCGGTTCCCAGCTCCGTCTGGCGCCCCAGGGACCCACGGCGGCCCAGAGGATGGCGGGAACCAAGATTTGGGAGAGATCGAGGCTGGAAAAGCTCAAATTCCCGGTTCCCGGCTCTGTCTTGTACCAGGGACCCACGGCGGCCCAGAGGATGGCGGGACCCATGATTTTGGAGAGATCGAGGCTGGAAAACTCCGAAATCCCGGTTCCCGGCTCTGTCTGGCGCCCCAGGGACCCACGGCAGCCCAGAGGATGGCGAGAACCATGATTTTGGAGAGATCGAGGGTAGAAAAAAACCCGAAATCCCGGTTCCTGGCTCTGTCTGGCGCCAAAGGGACCCACGGCGGCCCAGAAGATGGCGGGAACCATGATTTTAGAGAGATCGAGGCTGGAAACCGAATTCCCGGTTCCCGGCTCTGTCTGGCGCCCCAGGGACCCACGGCGGCCCAGAGGATGGCGGGAACCATGATTTTGGAGAGATCGAGGCTGGGAAAACTCAAATTCCCGGTTCCCGGCTCTGTCTGGCGCCCCAGGGACCCACGGCGGCCCAGAAGATGGCGGGAACCAAGATTTGGGAGAGATCGAGGCTGGAAAAGCCCGAAATCCCGGTTCCCGGCTCTGTCTGGCGCCCAAGGGACCACGGCGGCCCAGAGGAGGGCGGGAACCAAGAATTTGGACAGACCGAGGCCTGGAAAATCCCAAATTCCCGGTTCCTGGCTGTGTCTGGCGCACGAAGGACCCACGGCGGACCAAAAGATGGCGGGAACCATGATTTTGGAGAGATCGAGGCTGGAAAAGCCCGAAATCCGGGTTCCCGGCTGTCTGGCGCCCCAAGGACCCACGGCGGCCCAGAGGATGGCGGGAACCATGATTTTGGAGAGATCGAGGCTGGAAAACCCCGAAATCCCGGTTCCCGGCTTTGTCTGGCGACCCAGGGACCCACGGCGGCCCAGAGGAGAACCATGATTTTGGAGAGATCGAGGCTGAAAAAGCTCAAATTCCCGGTTCCCGGCTCTGTCTGGCGCCCCAGGGACCCACGGCGGCCCAGAAGATGGCGTGAACCAAGATTTGGGAGAGATCGAGGCTGGAAAAACCCAAAATTCCCGGTTCCCGGCTCTGTCTGGCGCCCGAGGGACCCACGGCGGCCCAGAGGAAGGCGGTAACCAAAAATTTGGACAGACCGAGGCTGGAAAAGCTCAAATTCCCGGTTCCCGGCTGTGTGTGGCGCCCCAAGGACCCACGGCGGCCCAGAAGATGGCGGGAACCATGATTTGGGAGAGATCGAGGCTGGAAAAGCCCGAAATCCCGGTTGCCGGCTCTGTCTGGCGCCCCAGGGACCCACGGCGGCCCAGAGGATGGCGGGAACCATGATTTTGGAGAGATCGAGGCGCTGGAAAAACCGGAAATCCCGGTTCCCGGCTCTGTCTGGCGACCCAGGGACCCACGGCGGACCAAAAGATGGCGGGAACCATGATTTTGGAGAGATCGAGGCTGGAAAAGCTCAAATTCCCGGTTCCCGGCTCTGTCTGGCGCCCCAGGGACCCACGGCGGCCCAGAAGATGGCGGGAACCAAGATTTGGGAGACATCGAGGCTGGAAAAAACCCGAAATCCCGGTTCCCGGCTCTGTCTGGCTCCCGAGGGACCCATGGCGGCCTAGAGGATGGCGGGAACCAAGAATTTGGACAGACCGAGGCTGGAAAACCCCGAAATCCGGGTTCCCGGCTCTGTCTGGCGCCCCAAGGACCCACGGCGGCCCAGAGGATGGCGGGAAACATGATTTTAGAGAGATCGAGGCTGGAAAAGCCAGAAATCCCGGTTCCCGGCTCTGTCTGGCGGGGAAAAATGATTTTGGAGAGATCGAGGCTGGAAAAGCTATTCCCGGCTCTGTCTGGCCCCCCAGGGACCCACGGCGGCCCAGAAGATGGCGGGAACCATGATTTGGGAGAGATCGAAGATGGAAATCCTCAAATTCCCGGTTCCCGGCTCTGTCTGGCGCCCCAGGGACCCACGGCGGCCCAGAGGATGGCGGGAACCAAGATTTGGGAGAGATCGAGGCTGGAAAAGCCAAAATTCTCGGTTCCCGGCTCTGTCTGGCGCCCAAGGGACCCACGGCGGCCCAGAGGATGGCGGGAACCAAGAATTTGGACAAACCGAGGCTGGAAAAGCTCAAATTCCCGGTTCCCGGCTCTGTCTGTCGCACCAGGGACCCACGGCGGCCCAGAGGATGGCGGGAACCCAAATGTTGGAGAGATCGAGGCTGGAAAAGCTCGAAATGACGGTTCCCGGCCCTGTGCTCTGCTGCTCTGCTGCTCTCTGCTCTCTGCTGCTCTGTGCTCTCTGCTGCTCTGCTGCTCTCTGCTGCTCTCTGCTCTCTGCTGCTCTGCTGCTCTCTGCTGCTCTGTGCTGCTCTGCTGCTCTGTTGCTCTCTGCTGCTCTGTGCTCTCTGCTGCTCTGCTGCTCTCTGCTGCTCTGTGCTGCTCTGCTGCTCGGTTGCTCTCTGCTGCTCTGTGCTCTCTGCTGCTCTGTGCTCTCTGCTGCTCTGTGCTCTCTGCTGCTCTGTGCTCTCTGCTGCTATGTGCTCTCTGCTGCTCTGTGCTCTCTGCTGCTCTGTGCTCTCTGCTGCTCTGTGCTCTCTGCTGCTCTGTGCTCTCTGCTGCTCTGTGCTCTCTGCTGCTCTGTGCTCTCTGCTGCTCTGTGCTCTCTGCTGCTCTGTGCTCTCTGCTGCTCTGTGCTCTCTGCTGCCCTGTGCTCTCTGCTGTTCTGTGCTCTCTGCTGCTCTGTGCTCTCTGCTGCTCTGTTGCTCTCTGCTGCTCTGTGCTGTGCTCTCTGCTGCTATGTGCTCTCTACTGCTCTGTCCAAACCCGATTGGTTTTCTTTTCGCTTGAACGGATTACCTTTTCGCTCGAACGAGCGTCTTTTCGCTTGAACGATCCACCCTCGGCGACGACCGCCATGGGGCGCCTCCCTGTCGGGCTCGCCTTCGGGCCCTCGGTGGGTCTAAGCGTCTAAGCCTCGCCAGCGAGAGCCACCCGTACTCGGGCCCCCCCTCTGCCCCCCGAAAGCGCTGCTCCTCGCCGGGCGGAATCTAGTAGATCCGCAGCAGCTCGCTCTCAATCAGGCTACAGATCTGGACGAAGAAGCGTTGTCCAGCCTCGCCCTTGTCCGCTGCTTCGCAGATGCTGCTGGCCAGGTCGGTGTAGTCCCGCCTCGCGCAAAGACCCCAACGGAGGCCCTGCTCGATCATGCCGACTACCTTGCAGCTGGCAGTCATGTCGGCGATGCCGCGGTCGATAAGGAACTAATCCAGCTCCGAGGCCTCCTGGTCCGTCGTGAACTGAAAGTACCCTCGCCCGCGTCGATGAGCATGCCGCACACACCCTCCAGCCAACGCCCAGCGACAGTCAGGAAGGTGTCGGGGTCTACGTGCCAGTCGCCCCCCAAGATCCACGCTTCAACGGCGTAGTGCAGCATCTTGCCGACGTGCGGCACCGCGCCCATACCGGCAGCCACCCAGCGCATCTTTGTGCAGGTAGATGGAGCCGACGACGATGCCGCCAGGGATGAGGCCGTGGACGCGCGCGAAGGCGGCGCGGCTCCCTGAGGCGTGGCATGTCGACTTCGCCCCGTCGAGCCCTGGTCCTCTCATGCCTCTCAAACTTTCGACTGCCACACCACCGCTGGCTGCGCGGTGCTGGGCTGCATCTGAGGCCGCGGCACGTGGGGCGAGGACGGCGCGCAGCCCGACCTGGTGGCGTGGCGCCACTGCCCCTGCTCCACCACGCGCTGCGGCCCCAGGTTGCGCTCTCGATGCTGGTCAACGCCGCCACAGCGCGCCTGGAACATGTCGACATTGCCCTCCAGCGGCGCTGCCATGATAGCAGTGGCAGGACCCAATCCTGTGTTGTTGAGGCTGACATGGGTGAAGATATTAGGAGCGTCTCCCCCTTCGCTTGACCCTCGCAATGGTTCGGAGGCCCTCGAGGAGCCGACGTTGCTGGGCCTTGCGGCAGGCAGCATGATCAGCCAGCGCTGCGGGCTACCCAGCAGCGGCGGCCCCATGGCTGCGGCCCTCCTCTTCGTCGGCCCCTGTGGCTCCATCGGTGTCGGTGTCTTCCATGGTGGAGTCGACGAGTGCCTCGAGTGCACTCTCGTCGAACACCACCTCAGAGGTCTCGCTGCCAAACCACGCGAGAACTTGGTCGGAAAGTCTGGCGTGCCGCTGGGGTGAGGAGACAAGAGAGAAGAGAAGCGGAACTTGGGTCCAGGCGCCGCGGAACCGCAAGGCAGAACTTGCTGGCAGGAGGCATGGGAGGCCTGGCGCGTGATGTGATTCCATATCGCCCAGCACAAGCGTGGAGGATGGAAGGCAGAGGGCGAAACACGGAGGATGAAGAAGGGATGACGAAGGGGGGGCGAGCATCAGGGAGGAAAACAGGAGGCAAGGGCGGAGGGAAGCAGGAGAAGAGAAGAGAGGGAAAGTCCCCCCTACTCCAGCAGCGAGGCTATAGAGGTGAAGGTGAGAGGCGGGGAAAAGAGGACCACAGTGGCGTACAGAGCGGGATCCTCCCACTAGATTCGCCACAAGACTTCCCTGCGCCCTCCTCTTCTTCTTGCGTTTGAGAGTCTTGACCTCTTTCCTCGCTGGCAGTAGTGGCAGACATGAAACGCCAAAAGGAGAAACGCAGGCAGGTGCTGTGCGCGTTGCACGCATCGGCCGCTGCACGTACATTCGCGTGTGTTTGCGTGTGCGCGTGGGTGTGGGAGGAGAACACGCGTTGGGATCGGAAGTCCAGGAAGATCCACCAACGTGTCGGTCGAACATCTCAGTTCAGGGTCTCGAGGGTTCTCGAAACAAGTGTGAAAACACCCATTGAGCCAAAGCCTGCAACAAAGACGAGAGACAGGGGAAGAGAAAGCGGGTCCACCAAGACCAATCACGACTTGCGCAAAGAGAACACACAACCACAAGGCGAGAGAACACGCAACGTGCGTATGAACGCAGAATGGGCGATTCCGCATGCGCGGCGCGCGGGTGCGCAAGCGCACTGCGCGTACTGTACGCGGGGCTGCGCACGACGCATGGCACGTCAGTGCCAGTGCGCGTCGCGTGCTTTCGCTCACGCACGGATGCCGATCACAGAGGGGTGAGATGGAAGTCGGAGGGATCAGGAAGAAGGGAGGAGGGAGGAAAGAGGACACCAGGAGGGAGCAGAGAGTAGGGTGGAGAGAGGAAAACGACGAAGTAGGAGGGCAAGAAGCTAGGGGAGGCGGGAAGGTGAGGCGGACAAGAAAGGCGAGGACGAGGAGGAAACATCCCGTCGACGAGTGCAAGGTCGGCACGAGGAGGAACTTGCGGTGGTCCTAATGTGCTCGAGCTCTTCCTGGCGGTAGTCCTCCAAGGATCGGCAATGGAGAAGGGGAGGGGTATGAAAGAGGATGAGGGAGAGGCGGTGATAACATAACAGCAGCCCCTGGGAGATGAAGTCGCAGAGCCGACCAAGGCCCGAACTCGACCATTGGGGGTTTCCCCTCGGGTATCGGTTTGTGGACATTTATCCTGAACATGCCGGGGCGAGGAGCGAGGAGGGGAGAGGAGGGAGGAGAGAAAAAGTGCCCCACCCCTCTTGTGGCTGGGTCCTGGCGTTTGTTTGTTCAGTGGAAAACTTGTTGCTCAATCATCCTCTCCTGCTCTCTTTCGCCTCCTTCCCACCATCGCCTGCCTCCTCCAATCCTCCCACTTCTTCGCATCTCCAGCTTCGAACGGTTGCCCCGAGTGTTGCCAGGAGCGGAACTTTCGCAACTTTCCGTCGCCCTGGGGGGGGGGGCTAGCCACAAGCAAAACTATCACAACTCTGCGGCGCCCACGGGGTGTCCACCGGTGTGGCCCCATACGCCGATCCAAAGTAGCCCTCGCCTTCCTGGGCGCCGCCAAGCGCGCCACAATCGCCGGCGCTCTGCGCCCCTGAGGGGTCCAACGGATGCCTGATGCGCAATTGTGACGCCGCTTCCCTGCGCCTCTGGGCGATCCAACAACAAGCCCCTCCGAGTACATCCCCATGAAACCTCGCCCCCGTGGGCAATGTCGAACATCCGACGCGCGAAAGAGAAGCCGCAGCCAAGGCGCAGCGCGACACATGACAGCGCAGCCGCGGGTGGCATCCCATGGCCGCCAGCGGCGCGAGTGCATGCGCCCAGTATCCTCCACCTGCTTCTCCCGATCGGCGGTGAAGCGACCTCAGACACCAATCCTTGGCGCAATTCTGCACCCCAACAGGACTAGCTCTTCCTGCAAAATGGCCCGGGTAATTTAGCTTAGTAACTGGGCGATGTAGTTTTGACCGCGGGGGCACGCGAACGCTCCACTGATAGATGCGCGGGCCAAGTGGCTGCGCGAATCCACTGGCACACACACTGCTTCCCCAATTACCACGAAATGGCTGAACGCCAGCTCTCGGCGGGTACGGCCGTTAGAGCAGCGGGAAGAAAGCTGGTAGTACGGATAGGCAAATATGGGTATATGTGCCGAAGTAAACCACGTGAGTTCACTCGCTCGTGCACTCACCGTACCAGCTGGAGTACCCGTTGAACTCCGGTGCGCGAAGCACTCTGAACAGGTGGTAAAAATAAGGCTGGTAAATTCTACAGAGACCTAGGCTTTGGATGATTATGGCGGATGTCGCTTTCTAGGCACAAAAGCTGTCCGTAAACAAATATATTCTCCACATGCAGGCGCAAACCATATATCTGATCATGCCCACGAGGCGATGGGAAGAGGGCTAGAGAAGGTCCGACGTCGTTACTGAGATCCCACCGCGGAAGTGATCAGGTGAGCTGCATTGTGGCTGGTTAATCGCGAACGCCTCGGCAACCGCGAGGCCGCCCCCCCACCTGCCCCCGCGGCATGGCAGCCCGGAGTGCTCGAGCGGCAATGGGGGCTGCGGCGCCTCCTCTGGGCGTTGGTCATCTAAGAAGTGTCGTCCTACGCCTGGCCTCTCCTCATCGTTGACCCAGCAGCCCCAGTCCCTCTGACGAATGGCAGAGACGGCACGGGGATGGCAAAATCCTTGGGCCGCCCAGCAAGACGCGACTGGGCCGAAGACGTACGGCAACAGAGATGGACTGATCCTCCTGGCTCCCCGGCAGTCGCACCCACTCCGCGCGTGAACCAACCGCGCGACGTGAATCAGGCCTGCCAGTAAAGGCCCCCGCGGCACGTTGCTTCATGGCCAAGTACATTGCGACGATGAAAGCCCCCCGTTGAATGCCCCGAATCTCGGGCACGAGAATCGGGCCCCGGCAAGACAGGTGATGCGCCGCCCCAAGGGCGCTGGTCCAAGGATATCCGCATCTCCTGCTCGTTAAGACCCCGGCAGCAATGAATCGGCGCCGCGCCACTTCATATTTCAACGCGGCTGGCGCCGAAACCTTCGGTGAAGACGCCGGCGGACAACGCGGCGCAGTTGCCGGGCAAATGTCGACGAGCTCGAGTTTATGAATATCGGGCCATCCGTCGACGCGGGCCCGAGCTATGCGCGGGGCACCGTTGCGTCTTAGCGATCTCAATCCAACCGTTGCTCGCCGCGCCGCGACAACCACCTGGCGCCAGCGACTGCGCGCGTGAAACCGCGTCGACCCAGCGCTCGCGCTCCATCTCGCGGCAAGCTGGATGAGCGTCGGCCCGGGTGATAGAAACATCATGGGAAGCCCAGCGGCAACGGGCGTTGTGCGCGTCGGCCAAAGACGCGCTCGAGCGCGCGATGCTGACTAACGCATTGGCGGTCGAAGGTTTCTCCCTCGATGCGAAATGGCCGGCGCTCGGCGCCTTCGCCGCGGTCGCGGGGCCAGCCGCGGCATAAGTGCCCGACCAAATTGGCAATCCAATGAGGGTCCTCTGGCTCGGCCAGACAATTTGGAACGTGAAACTCGCCCCCCGCAACGATGCGCGACTCTTTAAAGCAGGCGAACAGCGGGCGGTAACAATGCCACCCGACGATGTTCTCCGCCACCACGTCAAACTCGTTGATCTCGCGGCTGCCGAGGCCATCCTCGATGTAAGAGCGCGCTCGTCGTCGGCCCTCGGCAGCGCGCAACTTGCGGGCCCCTCTGCTACAGCAGCAGGTTGAGCTGGCCCACTTGGCCCGTTAATCCCGCTGGCTTCTCCAAACGCGGGAGCCTCCAGGAGGGCGGTAAAAACCCGCGATGCCCGCCCTCAGCAAAGGCTGGCCCCAGAGCTGCCGGGGGAGTTGGCGTCGCAATTGGGAGAGGAGGTGGGGCGTCAGTCTTGCTACGAGACGGCTGACGCCGCACGAAGCGAGGCTCGTCGCCTTTGATGAGCCTTGCCTCTGGCGGAAGCCTCGGTCAATCAGCGCGGCGTTTAATCGTGGAGATGCGCGCTGCTCCGGCCACGTCTTTCACGCGATCGGCAATGGCATCGAGAAGGGCTGCCCCCTCGGCCGCCAAGTCCAGACGCAAGGGCTTTGGCCGACGATCGCCAAGCATGTCCCGCCCCACCCACCACCCGCGCGCAACGCGCATCAATGTTGCCAGCAGTCCGCCGACACTCGAAGGCGCGCTCGCCCTCCGCGACCCCCGCCTGCACGTCGAGGCCGTCGCTGTCGCCGACAGCCGCGGCAAGCTGCCTGACCAAGTCCGCCCCCTGTTTAGCGACCTCATCGCTGGTGCGACTGAGGTCCATGAGGTCCACATTAAATTGGTTGCGTTTCTTGTTGAGGTTGTCTTTGATAGGGCCAGGCCTGCTGGCGCGTGGCCCTCGCATCATTGCGGCAATGCGTCATGGTCGCGCTGGCATTCTGAGACAGAACACCGAGGTCCTCGCCCACGGCCTCGGCGAAGGTGATGAACTCCCGCACGCGGCGCTCAACCTCGCCAGTGGCTCGGCGCTGGCGCCGCAGGCGCGGCGCGGCGTTGACCTCGCGCCCATCGACAGCGATGCGAGGCGTCTCCTGGGCAACCGCTCCTCAGACCCATAGTCAGAATAAAGGGCTGGCAGACGTCACAAAGACTCCTCGCCAGAACATGATTTAATACAGATTACTGCGGCAACTGGCACTCTGGCGCGGGTGCCAATGTGCGCCTGCCATGACGCGCCGTCTGCCTGGCGCAGTACGCACGCATGCTCATGGCGCTGTTCCCAGCGCGCTTGGTCAGTGCTTCTGACATATCCCCATGCGCGCCAACACTCACAACTTGAATGTCGCCCTTTTCGCACTCTCTCTTGCAACCACAGTCGACGTGCTTCAATGCGTCTCTCTTTACCTCGCCCTCGCCTGCCCACAAAGGCCACGACCGCAGTGGCATCACTCTCTATGGCAATGCTGCGTTGGACATCCAAATCCTTCAATGCGAACTGTAGCCCTAGACCAACTGACGCTCCTATCACAATTCCATGATACTCGGCATCCCCGGGCAATAATGCGATTGCGCTCTGCGCAGCGTGCCAAGATCTAGTCGCATGAGATCCACGCAGCACTACTCCTCGACGTCCTGACTTCTCGTCTGTTAACCCTGCAAAGTCTGTGTCTGCCCATGCTGTAAATCCTCATGGCTTGTCATGATACCAACAGAGGTAAACTGACCTGTCGCGCGTCAAGGCAATTCCCAAACATCATAGCACTCCCCAAAGATCCCACTGTAGGCTTCGCCATATTCCCGCCCAACACTCCAGCCGATAACAGAATCGACCCTTACTACTTGATTCGCTCGGGCGGTCATGGCATGAAACCGCGCGGCAACGCGCGGTGGCGACCCCCCCTCATCTCCTTCATCCACTGGCAACTTCCCCCCTGGCGCTTCCGCTTTTACCTTGCGCGCGTGGAATCCAAATTCCTTCGCGACGATCTCCGCGTGCATCTGATCTGCCCCATGCCATGAGCCATCGCGCGTCCATTCTACACATGTGTTCCGGACCCCCCGCGCGCCTGCGCCTCGAACTCCCCCTGCGCTGTTCTGCGGGACCAATCGACGCCAAAATTGCCGCTTGACAAAGTAGAGTCACCACCGGGCACCGCTTGTCAAATCCTTCTCGTCCCGCGCGCGGACGCGCGAGGCGACGCCGCGCCGCTGGCGAAACCATCTGACCCCGCAGAATCCACGCAACAATCCCCCCTGTAACTGGCGGCATCCCTGGGCCCCCACATGGAATAAGGAGCTCGCCGCGCGCGCCCGGCTCGCCGCCCCCCTCGGGCAGTCGAACGAAGAAACCTTTTCTTGTGGGGTGTGTGTGTGGGGGGGGGGGGGGGGGGGGCATCGAAGTAAGCTCGCTCGTTAACGATGAACCTCAGCTCGAGACCTTCCCCATGCCCACCTCCGTTGCATCGCGTTCCCTTTGTCACTGCCAGCGAAAACAATAACTTCTCAGCTCTGGTAGAGGCGC